AAACTGATGGTGGCAGCAACTGTACAATTATGCTTGATCTAATTGAATTATGGATGGTTATAAAATCTGTAAGAGCTCCCAATAAAATGATTTTAAAAATATATGCCACAAATGTTTGACAGTATTATTCACAATAGCCAAGAGGTAGAAACAGTAGATAAACAGATACCATCGATTGATACACTGTATCAATGTTGAGCCATAAAAAGGAATGAAGAGCTTGTACATGCTACAACATAGATGATCCTTAAAACACTATGCTAAGTGAAATAAACCAGGCCAAAAAACAATAATAATGAAGGTGGATATTGTATCATTCCGTTGATATGACCTGCCCAGAACAGGGAAATCCAAAGAGCCAGAAAGTAGATTAGTGGCGATCAGGGGCTGGCAGGGGCTGGCGGGGAGGGGAACATGGGACTGCTTAAGCATTTTCTCTTGGGGAAGAAAATGTTCTTGGAACAGGTAGAGGCAATAATGGTGCAATAACTTATATGTATTAATGCCAATGAACTGTGCACTCAAATACAGCTAGTGTTATGTTACGTGAATCTCACACCAGCTGAAAAAGTCACAAAGTTAAGAAGTTAACTGGGTTATCAGGTGACAACATACGGCTATTCCGTGAGGTGGGTGGCTAGGATGAGCAGCCAAGGCTCACTGCCCCCAGTCTCCTTCCCTTCCACCCTGGTTGGGGGACACACAACATCCCCTTCCCTCTCTGGTCCCCCGTGACTCGTCCGAAGCACCTAGTAGTAGCCCTGGTGAAGTAAGGACAAAGCTCCTACGGTAAGGTTACCAGATTTAAAGCGGGACACTATTGACCAGGTTTGGGGGGGGGATGTTCTTGATTACAAATTTGGTCTATATGGACCAAATATAGATTGTTCCCTAGCTTGTCGTGCATTCTTTCCAAAAATCAGGACTTTTTTAAAAGGCCAAATATTGGGACTGTCCCACCAAAAGCGGGACATCTTGTCACCTTATCCTAGGGGGGAAACTGTATTATGGTCTCAGGGGCAGCAAACACAGGGCCTAATATGCCACAAAAGACCAAGTGTATGGACCAAGGTAGCCTCATCTTCGACTTTCTCTGTGGCTCTCACAAGACCCTGGTGGCACAGAGGCTCGGTCCTCAGCTGCTAATCAAAAGGTCAGCAGTTCAAACCTACAGCTGCTCCATGGAGAAAGCTGTGCGGTCTGCTTTGTTCAAGTTTACAGCCTTGATGTCCTTTGGGGACAGTTCTCCTCTGTCCTACAGACAAGATAGGGGCCAAATAGACTCAACGGCAAAGGATTGAAGCCTTGCTCCCAGGGGATGTGCTTGGCTACCAACCAGAAGGTTGGTGGTTCAAATCCACCCGGCACTTAGGTGCTGTGCTGTCAAAGCCATCCCCAATTTTATGCACATATTAATGTATCTGCAGGTCCACCTAGATAAGAGAGGTTGTACCAAAAAAATGGTGAGGAGAAAATAAAGTGACCAAGGGCCCCGGAGGGACATG